TCCCCCCGGGCCACTTCCTCCTGCAAATCCTCCCGGCCCGGGCCTTGCTCGCTGCGGCAGCGTCGCAGCTATGGCAACCCCCGCGGCCTAGCCCGGCCTACGGAAACGGAAGCCGGGTCCGGGGCCCCGTCACTCAGGGCAGCCGGGAGCGGCGGGGTGGGGTTGGTTTGAACCGTTGGCTGCTGAGCCCGGTTCCTAGGCTGGCAGCGCTCCCGGCCTCTCCGGGGTAGGGGGTGCCAGGCCTGGCAGTGCCAGGGAGAGGGACGCTCCGTCCCCACTGAGCGGGGGGTGCTGAGCAGGGGTCCCTCCAGCCTGAGACCCCCCCCAGACCAGTATAGGGACCCCCCAGACCCGGCCTTGTGCTCCCCTTCCCCTCCTGCTGCAGCAGCTCCCCCGTTGGGTGCTGTGCAAGCTGTGGGAGCCCCTGGTGAGACCCCCCCAGACCAGCATAGGGACCCCCCAGACCAGGCCTGGTGCTCCCCTTCCCCTCCTGCTGCAGCAGCTCCCCGAGCTCCCCCGTTGGGTGCTGTGCAAGCTGTGGGAGCCCCTGGTGAGACCCCCAGAGTGCGGGGCAGCTGTGCCCAAGCCTCGACGTCGTGGACCGGGAGGTAAATGGCGCTGCGTGGTCATGGCCCAGCTCATGGATTGAGGGGCGTGATGGAGGGAAATTGCCTTCCCCCCCGTGCGAAATCCCAGCAGCGGGGTGTGAAGGTGGTTAAAGCTCTCGAAATCGTGGGGGAAATCACCGGTCATCACACGGTACCTGATGCAAACTGTAGAAAAAATAAATCCGAGAGGAGAGGGGGAGAAATAGCATCGCTCCTTTCCTTGCTGCCACCTTCCCTGGTTGGGTATGGCGGCTTGTTTGCAAAATTCTTAGCAGCGGGCAGGAAGATGGGAACAGGTTGCTAGAAGATGTCACATTGCTTAAGTGGTCGTGCAAACTGGAGATGTATGGAAGAGATAGCAAAGGAAACCTGTTCCGGTGGCTGGGAAAGTTGACGGGCTGAGTAAGATACGTATAGTGATATATCAGTCCAACTGCTGACAAGGGTTGGGAACCTGTTTAGTATGAGGCAAATAGCGCAGGATTGTAATATATGTAGTATAACGATACTTAAATCACAGAACATATAGATGAGGAAGTGGGGGCAACCTACCCTTGGATGGAAAATTATTGAATGATGAGTAACGCAAAGGGTCTCACATATCACTGACGGGTGCTTTGCGGGGCTGGCCTGGGATGGGACAGTTCATAGCCCTGGTACCTCTGGGCTTGCCGCATCCGGTCGGAATGTAAAAAAATGGCTTGAGCTCTGGCACCTCTTTCATTACAAATTGGAATTGTTTATATATAGTGATTTATTTGTGTAATTTCTAGTGGGAACAGCAAACCATGGACTACTTGTAAAGCATTGTAATTAGCATAATCTTGCAGTGTAATGTAGAAAATTTTTATTATTTTAAAATTTAGGTAGAAATTAATGATAACAGGAACCCTTGGCTCACTGCATTTCCAATTTCAGTTCGGTTTAATAAAAATACCAACACCAGTATATGCATTTACAAATTTTAGTTCAGCACAAATGGAGCACCAGATTAGAATGTTACATGATAGTGTATGTTGCATAAAAATAGTTGAAGGAAAAGAAGAGGGAGGAAAAATACATTTTCCTCTTGATATGAAGTGTTATTGAATGTTAGAGCCGGGAGATAGATGGTATGTGAGGGAGGAGACTTTCCCTCTCAGCTGAAGATGTAAACATGTAAATAGTGCATTGGATTATAAAACCCTGATCCTCCAAAGATATCTGTGCATGTACTTAAGTTTATTCACTGTCAATGGACCCAAAGGCTAGTGGGACTTGGTGTGTCTAATGTTAAGTACGTACATAGGCCTCAATTCTACAAACACCTACATTTAGCAATGATCATGCTAACTGCAGTCTAAAATATATAGAGAAAGTGTAAAATGCAATCTCCTGAATGGGAAACTAATGAATTTATAAATCATGGGATAGATAATTTGGAGGAAAGACATTTGTATGGCTCTCTCCAAACCCCGTAGTAAATCACTGTTTTTAAAAATGTACAACTGAGTGTTGTATTTTAGCTGTATCTTCTATTCCCAAATAACTTTTTATCAAAATATTATTTGTAATATTGTTCTTCCTGCTTTCCACATTGTTTTCATTTGTAAGTGGTATCTTGTCACTGACTTCCAAGCAGGAAAAGATATTTTTGGATGAATATTAGCTTGTTTAATAGCTTTTAGGGAGTAATAAGATGGGTTTATTTATGACCTGTATCTTGCCAAATGCTTTTTTTATGTGTGGGTTATTGTTCTCCCTCCAATAAGCATTCCAAAATCAAACAAGCATATTGTTTGAGAAACTTATCCTGAGTGTTAGCTCTTTGCAAAGATCTGCTATTGTGTGTGTGTGTGTGTGTGTGTGAATGAATTTAATGCTAATGAAATAGCCATATTGTTGTTTGTTTTTTTAGATAGCTCAAAAAGTGAGTATTTGCATTTAGACATTAAGTAGGTTAATCTATAGAACAATGAGGTTTTATATAATTTCTCTATTTCAATTTAAATTTTGCAGGTTGGCTGTTAAGTGCACAATGAGTAGTGAAGAGGAAACATGGGAGAAGTTGGATGCGGAATTTGATCACTATGTTGTAGATATGAAGCCGTTTGTGTTAAAATTACCACATAAATCAGGTAAACTGTGCTACGAATTTGCATGTAAATAAACATAACAATCAGAAATAATCTAGTTTTACTACAGAATCTTGGTATATTATGAATCTCGAGTGTAAAATAATAACATCTGTATGCATTTATAATGCATTCTGCTAAATAACAAATTAAGTACCACAAACCTAATGTTGCAGAGTGCATCATCATATGTGCACAACTTTTAAAGTTGATTTTTAGGTTATCTTTTAAGCACCTTTTTGTTAATACTGTTTATTCAAGCTCATCCTTCTTATTTTGATGACGTAAATGTACTTTTGCATAAATATATTAATTCCTGTATTTTCCAATTAGTGAATTCAGTGGAAATTAAAACTAAAATAGGCTTTGTCTTGGAGATTATGCCATTTATAAAATTGCAAGCATTTTTTTAGAGACCAATCTGTCAAGATACAATTATGTTCATAAAAGAAATAAATCCAGCGCTGGAACTTTTTAAACTAATAGTACAAGTAGCTCATAAAATATCACTCCTTAGCTGATAAGTGATTACTTTATTTTAATAATATGCAGTTCATTTCTAATCTTCATATTAAGGGCCTGATTCTCCAAACCTTTGTTTGCACTAATAGTTCTAAATCCCACAGGTGGTCTTGTCTTCCATGGAAGGCTACTGTCTCAGGCCTTTAAATTGGATGATAAAATATTAATGCTCATGCAAACTGTATTTTGCAACTGATGGCATGATTCTGAAGGCACTGACAGTCCTCAGCTCGCATTGAGTTTTATAGAAGTTGAGGATGCTCAGTACCTTGCAGGATCTGACATGATCAGAAGTAGGTTTTCACATTTCAAAATAATAATGCTGTAATCAGATTACTTTCAATACAACAATTTTTATTTTACCTCTGAAGCAGTCATTAGAGGGAATATTTTTCTCTGGAATTGAGACTGATTAATACTCAAAATTGTTTATATAATAGTAGAACCCTGTAAACTAAGCATAAATATGAATCTGCAGAAATTAGTTCTGGAATGGGTCTCTCTTTGTCCATTTGAAAATTAAATTGTTACCATGGATCCACCGTTATCTCATGTTCTGAGGTTGGCACACACTTTTCCTTTTAGGTGAAGGGCTGTTTTTATGGTTTGTCCTGAAAAGGCTAATGGAAGCAGAACTCTTCTGGACAGTCCTGAGGGAAAATATTGTTCTTACTAGGGTTTGATAGTATGTATTAATAATCTCTTATCTTCAGCAATCAGTAAAGGGTGCTAGGAGCCTTCTTCTCCAGCTTTGCCCTCACAGGCTGCTTTGGTTGATAGCAGTTTTCCCTATTGCTTAATCTAGGACAGTGGTGGGAGAAGTCTTGGTTGAAGCTACCTAACAGTCATAAAGAATTTTGTGAATTCTTACACTTTTTTTGTTTTGTTTGTTTTTAGTTTTGGGTGATATTCATCTTAGTTAAACAAGCTGGCTTCATGTTTTGGCTGATTTGAGTATCTCTGCAAAGAAACTTCTGATTACAGAAAAAATGAGTGGATTTTGGGATGGGGGCTGGATCTGGAAGGAATGAAAGATAAATTTTATGTGGCTGAGTTTAGGTCAATGATGTTTCATAGAAGTTTAAAGCCAGAAGGGACTACTGTGTTATGCAGGTCAGACTGGATGATCACAAGCCATATGACTTCCCTGTATTAACTCTTGATTCAAGTCCAATAGCCATGCTTGAACTAGAATCTTTTAGAAAAATATCCAACCTTGATTTAAAACTTTCCAGTGTTGGAGAATCCACCACAGCACTTGGGAAGTTGCTCCAATGATTAAGTATCTTCACTGTTAAAATGTTATGCTTTATTTCTAGTCTGAATGTGTCTAGCTTCTTCTTCCAGCCATTGGCCATACCTTTGTCTGCTAGATTGAAGAGCCCATTACATTTCTTTTTGATAAGCTAAATAGGTTGAGCTTGTTGAGACTCTCACTATAAGGCTTTTCTCTGAACCCTCTCCAATTTATCAACACCCTTCTTGAATTGTGGATGCAGTATTCCAGTAGCAGGTGCAATAGTGCCAAATACAGAGATAATATAACCTCACCACTCCTACTCAATATTCCCTTGCTTATACATTGAAAGATTACATTACCCCTTTTGGCCACAATGTTGTGCCGGGAACTGATGTTTAACTGATTATCCACCATGACCCAAGTCTTTTTCAGTCACTGCTTCCTGGATAGCATCTCCTATCCTGTAAGAATAGCTTATATTCTTTGTTCTCAGATGTGACCTTACATTTGGCCATTTATTGAGATACTAAAGGTGTTGGGAGAACTTTTTGCTTTGGCTCCTTGTTTCTGACTGGCAAATGTCATCAGGGAAGAACTAAGCTCATTGTTGGTAGAGGGAGGGCAGGGTGCCATCTTCTCTTAAGGAGGTTAGTCTGTAGTCTTGGCTCAAGAAAGCAATGTTTGAGCCTTGCAGTCTAGTTATCATTTAGTACTGTATTTAATCTTCCATATTTGGTAGTTTATGGGAAGAGCTGTGATAATCCAGAAGCATCAGATTTCCTTGACACTTGTCATCCTTGTACAGTTCCGGGAACAGGACAGGAATTGCGCTGGTAGAAGATAACCTCTTAGTGATGGATGAAGACCGAGTGTGTGTGTGTATGTTGATATTTTTGCTGGATGATTCAGTTGTCCTCAATTGTGAGCTGGTTTTGGTTTTCCTATGGCTTGCACTGGGAGAATGCAAGGCTGCTTTTGGGTGAATCCATTTCTTCCTTGCTGGCCACCTTGAGAGAGTTGTGTTGGAAAATTGTTCCTCACACCTAAAACATGCTATTATATAGCGTTTCACAGAGTTCAGTCTTTTCTCCTTTCATGGTCAGCATGTACTTGAGGACATTGGGAGGGTATGGCTTGCAGCACTTTCAGTAGACTGCTGATACTTAACTTTACTTCTCTATTGTACATAAACCAGCTAGTGCTGCCAAACACTTGGCTCAGTGTCTCACTTGGATGAGTTGGGGGCATTGCGTTTCAACCAGCTAGTTGTCATCCATCTGGATAAGACTGAGATGCTGCTGGTAATGTTGGGGATAAGCAACTAGAAATTATGGTGAAGATTATATTTGTTGAGGATATGTGCCTGCTATTTGTAGCTAGAGTTTGCACGTTTAGGCTGTTGTTGGGTAGCAAGCTGATGTTAGAATATCACAAACCACAGTGTTGAGGAGGGTTTTAACTCATATATGCCTGACTAGGAGACTGAGACTCTCTTTTGGATGTGAACCTTACTACTTTGATCATAGAAAGTTTAGATTACTGCAGTGTGCATGGGACTGTACTCTAGGTCAACTCAGAAATTGAAGCTGGTTCAGAAAGCAAGATAAACTACTAAGTGATATAGTTCTCTGGGAGTACATAACACTAGTTGTCCATGATCTGACTGCACAGGTTCTCTATAAGTTTCCAAATTGAATGTAAAGTATATGTTTTGAGCTGTATAGCATGGAAGTATTTCTATGGCACTCTTCTTAAAGTTAGTATGGAATTCAATTTTCTCTTTCTGTGATATTGTAGTGGATAAATTATTTTTCCATTTGTGTTTTGTTTGACCTGAAGTTCCTTTCCATGAAAAATATACACATCCTTGTAAAATTTCATGTTCTACCTTAAAACTTCCTTTGTGCAAAACTTAAATTCTTGGTTGAAGAGAGAGAGGTCTACAAAGTGATGCTGTGGTTCTTTCATAACTTCTGCTGTTCTTAAGTTTGTTCTGTTTTCTAAGAAAGTCTATTGTAATGGAATGTATTTTTCTAGAACGTCAGAGATGTGCACTCTGGATTAAAAAACTCTGCGAGCCCTCAGGAGCAGGTGCAGGAATTATGGGTAGAAAGAATCGGAACTTGTATGCAAAATTGTTGCTGCATATGCTGAAACGAGGAATTCTAGAAGGCCCTTTTACACATAAACCCGAACCTGGAATACTGAAAACCTTGCCGTCGTATATGGTGGGTATTCATTTCATTTTTATGGAGAACAAACTTGAGTAGTTCATAAATGTAGTTTAAAAATTATATATTTAAGTATTCACTTTTGGTTACAGATGGAATCAAATTCTGCAGTGATTTCAGTGGAATTGCAAGGAGTGAATGTTGGCCTACAACTTGTACCATGGTTCCATTAATAATTTGTAACTGGAGTTGGCAAACAGATTTCTAGGTCTTTGTGAATTTTTTGTGTGACCTGTTTTGTTTTCTTCTTCAAATAAAATAGAAGTTCAGAAAGTGTGGAAACATGCCTTTTTGATTATATCTGATTAGTTGCTAACTGATATTTACAGATAACTTAAAATATATTTAAAGGGACATAGTCAATATTTTCAAAGCTAGACTTAAACTTCAAATTGGTATTGTGAAAGGAAAGAGAGTCTTGTGCTTGAAGCTTAGGGCTGGTGTATTCCTGGCTTTGTTACAGACTTAGATGGGTAAATCAATTAAATACTCTACATGTATGCTTTAAAAAAAGTGTATATGGGGATAATGGCTCACATGGGCATTGTGAAGGGTAGGGCCTGACTTTTAGAAATTTTGAACATTCTACTGCTCCCATTGACTTCAGCACTTCTGAAAATCAGTTGTTTAATTTATTAGTATTGTAAAATGCATTTAGCTTTTTGGATGAAAGACATTACTCAGTGTATTGCTACCCAATTTTTGGTTTTGAAGGGTTCTTTGAATTTTATATATGTTTGGATTAAACAATAAATTGATTATTAGATTGAAAAAATATTGATTATTTTCTATACTAAACTAACCATCTCTGATCTCTTAGGCCATCAGAAGTATTTTTTTTCCTGTTTGTTCTTTCCTCTTCCCTCCCCAACTTTAATGCCAAAAACTTAAAACAATTAATGTTTTAGAACAATGTTTTAAATGTTTCAAAACAATGTTCTCTCTACGTGTTGAGGATGGCTTCATGATGAGCAGGGCCCCAAGGTAATGGGGATGCTGGGGTTGAAGTATTGGGCTGTGAATCTTACTATTGGAAGAGGCAACTGGGTCTGGATCATAAGGTGCTGGATTAGTGCAGGAAGGTTGGTCCCTAACTGGTCCCTAACATGGTCTGTAGCTAAGCCTGATCCCGCTCTTCAGAGCTAGTTAGCAATTTATGACACTGTTCATAGAACAGTTTTGTTAGCTATCAGTATCAATAATACAGGCTGTGCAAAGATGTTCTGTGATAATAAGTGCTATGTAAACTTACGACTATTTTCCCTTATATCCAGGACTCAATATTCTTGCCCCCCTATTTTAAGCATGCATTCATTGAACTTATTGGCAAACTCCCTTTGACTTTACTGGGAATGGAATTGCATTCTTTATGCTGCTACCAAACCAGCAAGCAAGTGATGATGATGATAAAGAAGGGTGCATATATTCCTGTTTTTTTTTTTGGTCTAGATCTTACAATGTTAATCTTTTCTGACTAACTGGATCTTTAATTTTTTTAAAATATAGTCAATCTATTTTGATGAACCAAATTCAACAAGAGCACAGAGTGGTAGCCCAGAAGCTTTACCTGACTGGGTCATGGGAGAACTAGGAACAAGTGAATCGAAATTGGAGGAATCATGGAAATTCTCTTCTAGAGAGGAGTCAGCTTTGGTAGCATCACCACTTGCACACAGGTAAGAATTCAAAATCTGATCTATAAATAATGCTTATTAACGTGGAATTGGACATAATCTTACTATAAAGTGCTAGTTTTTTGTGTATAATAACAATATGTTAAAAAAAGTTAAGGTTACAAAGTCAGTCACTCAAAAGTTTGGAAATGTCAGAATTAAGGTTGCCTGTACAATGTTAATTTGGTCCTTTGTGAGCAAGCACCATGATAGTCTTTAATTACATGATCACAAACTATTTTCCCTCCTCCACTGCTACAATTCAATTTTCTTGCCCTCTCCTCTCTCCCACTCTCTGGCTTCTGCAATCCTCCCTCTCCTTCCCCTCCCTTCGCCAGGTATTCAAATCACTCTGTTTCCTCTTCCTCCTTGTACCCTGAGCATTGAGAAACACAGGAGAGAGTGTCCTTGTTTTCAGTTCCTGTGCCTGGCTTCACCGTGGTTTCTACAGCCAAGAAGAGCAATTGCAGGGAAAATTTGGCTATATTTGGGCAGTTTGATGGAGATCACAGAGATGGCAAAAGGTACATCCTTCACACCAGTGTGTCCTCTCTGCCAATTTTGACAGCCAGCAAGGAAAATTTCAGCCTGAATGGTTAAAGTTTTTTATAAGCAACTGAAAGCAGGGTCTTATAATAGAAAGTGTTGGTCAACCTTAACTATAGGTGGAGGTTGACTAGTTGACTTCTGCAGGAAACTTTTTAATATAATCAGTTTAGGAGCTTTGGGAACAGCTCGCTGAATTACAGTCAGATCTCCAGATCGACACTTGCAGTTGCTGAGAGTATTGATCAGCTATCAGATCTCTGGGTGCCTAACTTGACTTTCGTTAATGAACTAAATATAAAACTTACATTCCTCTTTTAGCAAATTGGTTACCTTAGCAAATGTGATGTTTTGATTAGAAATGTCTTTTGGATTTGTTTTATTGATACAGTCTTTGTTAGAAAAATATATTTACTTAAATTTCCCTTATATTTAATGCATGCATGTAAGGAAGCATGCTATTCTGGGCTGTATTCTTCTTCAAACTGCAAATTCTTCTGCAGTCTTCCCTAAATCTGTAGCTCTTCCTCTAACCATACATATGAGGATGAGGTAATATTTGAGATGTCAACTGGTGTAGTTTTATCTCCTCCAGTTGATCCAGCACAAATTAATAAATATAAAACCCGCTAAACAAACAGAAAAGTGCAGAAGAAACTTTTATTTCACACGTGTATTTTTATAGTGAATAATTTATTGCAAATTGGAACTGAAGTTTAATGCTGCCTCATAAATTTTACAACCACTTCTACTTGTCCTTTGAAAAACCTCTTTTAATCTTAAAAGATTTTTGCCTCTTAGTGTGTTTTTGATCACTTTATAAAAACTTCCTTTACTTAGACCTTTTTGTATGTGAGGCATTTCTAATGACATTTTAGATTATGCTGTTTGTGTGCTAGCCCTTTTTTATTTTTTATTATTAAAGATGCAGTCTTTTTGAAGTCTTTTTCTTGGGGCTCTGTTAAGCAGCTCTTTCGTGTATAAATCCTGTGTTAGACTTTAGAACATCCTCCTGTGTTCTGCTAGCAGACATTTTCTATCAGTGCAGTAGTTCAAAGGTGGCTATGCTCTGATATCAAAGATTGGCCACAATTTTCAAGTCTGGATACTTACAATTAGGAGTGAAATCCTGACTCCATTGACTTCAGTGGGTGTTTAGCCATTGATTTCAGTAGGGCCATGATTTCACACTAGATACCCAATTTTCAGAGGCACTGAACACCCACATTGTTTATATTTAGATGATTAACTGTTGATTTAGGTGCTCAATGTTAGGCACAACCAAATGTGACATTTTTGCTATAAGATTTCAATATTATACCTCTCATTCATTTGCACACCACTGAGCCTTTGGTTTTTAAATCCACTATTTTTCTCTCATCTTACCCAAATGTTTTTGCCTGTGGAGGCTACGTTTTTTTAATCCAGGCTCAATTTGATAGGTGAGGAGTAAAACTTTCAAAAGTCTTATTGAAAGTCTATAGAAAAGTAAACATGTTTTTTGGCTCCTATGTCAGTCACTTAAAGGGACTAAACATTTTACCAGATGGCTTCACTTCCTTCTAATAGTGACTTAAAATTCGGGAATGTCTTAATATCCATTAAACCTGAGATAACACATATATCACATTTGATACTCTTAGTTGGTCTTTCGGTTCCCTTCACTCGTTCTCACTGATATGGACTTCTTATCTTGAGTGTAGATGCCAAGCATAGATGTAGAATATCAGTAGTTGCCATGAGAGTCCCGGCCCTACCATGTTACTCTTCTAGGTTTTGTCATACATCTTGACACTTCTTCCCAAAAAGAAATGTCTAAATAGCAAAGGAAAATAAAATACATATGGCTTGATTAACCTTTTAGGCTTGGCCACCCTTGAATATGGGGTGGTGTGTAGCTGTGCCACCCTAAAAATAGAACTAGAAAGGCTTTGTGCTTTAGAGATGCCTCTCCGAGACACGATTCCTCTTTAGCTCCCCTTTTATTCTGAGAGTGGGGTTGAATAGGGGTTGAAATATGTTGCATTAGCACTGTACAAGATGCAGCATACTCCTCCCCTCTTGCATCCAACCAACTCTGGTAGTCAACGTGTGAGGGATGTGGGCTGGAGCCATACCTGCATCTACTATCAGCCCTCCTTTTCTCTTTCCTCTGACTTGCATGCAGGGAGGCATATCAGGGAGCACAACCCCTTCTCTCTACCCATATCTGGACCCAAGGTCCAGATAGGTCCTATGCAACTGCATGGGGATGTGTGGTGGTGGAGAGTCGTTACCTCATTTTACTCTTCTGTGTTCTACATAACACTAAGAGATTTTTCTAGACCATAGTTGGCAGCTATTGTGACTACTAAGAAGACAGATGTTGGATCTGGTACCTGAGAATCCCTCTAAAGTTCCATATAGTCTGTTAAGTGATTGTAAAAATGACACCCCCTTACTCATTAGATCTGGTCTCTGTATGTATTCAGATATCTGCTTGCTTGCTTACTTACTTACTATATCTGCTTACTTTAGAGGGGGGAAACCTTTTACTACTGTTATCCCTGCAGAATCAACCCAGTTCAGGCAGTATGAAACTGTTGCTTTTTATGACTTGCACATCAGCAGAAGAATTGTTAACTAAATTCTACGTGCCAGGCTATCTGCACAGATTATGCATCTAGTTAAGCCTGTGCAACCACAGGGAACAGAGTTGCACAGATGACACTGAAAAGTGGGGAGGTGTGGAAGGTCTAGGTTGGATATTAGGAAATACTATTTCACTAGGAGGGTGGTGAAGCACTGGAATGGGTTACCTAAGGAGGTGGTGGAATCTCCATCCTTAGAGGTTTTTAAGGCCCGGCTTGACAAAGCCCTGGCTGGGATGATTATGTTGGTGTTGGTCCTGCTTTGAGCAGGGGATTGGACTAGAACCTCCTGAGGTCTCTTCCAACCCTAATCTTCTATGATTCTATGATATCCTCCGAGGACAACAGGGTTGCATGGGTGTAACTAAAGAGCAGCATTTGACCTTGGAATCTTTATAGCAAGTGAAGATACATGATGCAATAAGAGCATAACATAATTTTCAGATCTCAGGCTGTGTTTGCCATGATGGTAAATAAATAAGCCTCATTCTACTTCTAAATTGAGCAAATTCAATATTAAAATTGTGACAGTAAATATGGAACTCCAGTATGACATTTTTTTCAAAGCCACTTTTCAGAGTAGAATTGCACTTTCATAGAAGATTAGGGTTAGAAGAGACATCTAGTCCAAACCTCTGCTTAAAGCAGGATCAACCCCAACTAAATCATCCCTACCCTCCAGCCTATCTACCTCTCCTTCCAGCTTAGTGTCATCTGCGAACTTGCTGAGGGTGAAATCCATCCCATCATTCAGATCATTAATGAAGATGTAGAACAAAACCAGCCCCATGACCAACCACTGGGGCAATCCGCTTGATACCGGCTGCCAACTAGACATCGAGCTGTTGATCACAACCCGTTGAGCCCGACGATCTAGCCAGCTTTCTATCCACCTGGTAGGCTATTCATTCAGACTATACTTCTTTAACTTGCTGGCAAGAATACTGTGGGAGACCATATCAAAAGCTTTGCAAAAGTCAAGGTATATCACGTCCATCGCTTTTCCCATATCCACAGAGCCAATCAGGTTGGTCAGGCGCCCTTTGTGAATCCATGTTGACTGTTCCTGATCACCTTCCCCTCTTCCAAGTGCTTTAAATACATGTTGTCCTGTAAAGCATGATCATGGACGATGTTCTTTGGCAGTGTAGCGTTAGTCTGCAGCTAGTGGCTAGCAGGCAATCAAAAGCACAAGATACTCACTTCTAGAAGTGGGTACTCGTTCAAAGAACACATCTATTTTGTGTGGGGGGAAAACTTTAATTTGTGCATTAAATTTTTGAAGAGGAATAAAAATGGAGGAGAAAACCTGGGTTACTTTTACGCTTGGCAGTTCTTCTGAGTTACGTGTTAAAGTCATAAAGAGAGAGTTTCCACTTCACATAAACTGAATACAAAAGAGAAAATATTTAAAATATTTGAGCTATGCAAGGGGTAAGGAAGGGCCAAATGGAGCTTTATCTGTAAAAAGAAACAATATTTCATGGGAAGAATTGATGTAAAATTTGTCTTTATTACTTTGTTAGCTCTTTGGGGCAGGGACCATGTCTTCCTTTGTTTTTATAGTGGTGAACATGCTGTCAGTGCTCAGTAAATAAATATTAAAAGTGTGAACCTTTTCCAGTGTGTTTCTTGGTGTCTCTGCAATTTATTGTAATGGCCAGCAGATGGCGAACTTCTTCCATTCTATGTAATAAAGCAAAACCTACTTTTCTTTGTACTGGAGAATGTGATCTATGTGGATAAGCAGTATGTTTTAGCTTTGATTAATATTCTGTTATCCTGCTATTGGTAATTTAATTCTTACAGGTAGACTGTAGCAGTTTC